GAAGAGCCACTACAAGGTGGGCCAGCACGCCGACACCCAGATCAAGCTCTCCATTCGGCGCCTGCTCGCCACCGGCGTCCTCAAGCAGGCCAAAGGGGTCGGCGCCTCCGGCTCTTTCCGCCTGGGCAAGGCTGACAAGGCGAAGAAGTCCTCGGCCATGAAGAGGAAGAAGGCGGCCAGGAAATCCATGTCGCCCCGGAAAGCAGCTAGACCTAAGAAAGCCAAGTCACCAGCAAAGAAGCCCAAATCTGCTGCCGGGAAAGCCAGGAAGAAGGCAAGGGCCAGGCCGAAGAAAGCCAAGAAGCCAAAGACTGTTAAGGCCAAGTCACTGAAGGCGTCCAAGCCCAAGGCAGCAAAGCGGTCGAAACCCAAAGCCAAGTCCCGCGCCCGGAAATCACCCCAGAAGAACTGAGAAGCCTAGAGGCGTTTCGGTAGTCTCCCCGTTGTTTTCTGTAAATAGCTTTTGCCTTTATTTTACCCCTTTCTATTGCATTTTATAAAGAATTGATCTATTCCTGTCTGGAAATCGCTAAAACAAGGCAGTTAATGAAAGAAAAAAAGAACATCATTGGTACAGAGAGTTCCCATTTTTAAGAGTTACTGGTGTGGGGTTTTATTTCCATGTCTCAAGACTGTTGCATATCTGTTGGTTTTTTTAAGCTGGGCTGCTTGTTGTATATTGGGAGTGATGGTGATTCCATGCGTCTGTCGAGGCCGTACAGGATTTCAATTCCTGATCCTGTCCCAGCTCCCGGGGGGTTGGGTGTTTGCTGGGGCCGGGCAAAGACTCTGCCTGTGTTGGAGGGGAAGCGGGGAACATAAGGCTGCAAGAGCCACAGCCTTCCCAGGAGGAGGAAAAGGGGGTCCCTGCTCCCTCCTCCACCGCCCTGGCTCCCAACCACGGGGCTGAGGCGAGGTGTGCTGGGCTGCTGGGTGTGAGGTCTGGCTGGTGCTGGAGATAACGGCCCGGCCGGGCGGGCGATGGGGCTGCCCGCCTGCCTGCGGAGCTGCCTCGGCCCAGCTGGGTGGTGGCAGGGACTCTTGGGGCAGGGACGGGATGGAGTAGGTGGAAGTGGGGCCAGGGTCTGTCCATGTTTGCTTTTAAGGAGTTGGAGGTCATCAGCAAGCGGGAAGGGGTTGATCCTTGGGGAAAAAGGACAAATATGGTTATGAGTGGCTTTGTTCCCTGGGGAGGAACGGGGCTGAGCGCGGCAGTGGG